AATTACTTGAAACTTGTTCATCTTACGTAGTTCGTAGTTAACACAGTGGCGAATGATGAAATTTCGCCTCTAGTATTAGAACTTGTAATTTCGTTATCCACTACTTATAATTCAAATAGGTAGGTACTTTTGCGTCAGTTAGATTTGCCTTTTTTGGCGGTGTCGTGCTTGAAGGGCGGATATTTGTGTGACGTTTATCACATGTAATAGAATCAAATGCGGATTTGCATTATTTCGTAAGACTAAGCGGAAAGTTAAAATTTTGCACGCTCGCATTCTTTTACAAGGGTGCGCAGAACAGATCAGAGATTCGTGTCGTCTTTCATTGAAATAAGGCGGTTGTAAACAAAATCTTAGGCAAAGAAGTTGCGACGACTTTAGTGGTGCGCTTTATAATTACTTTAGATGAATAGTCCAGTCAAAATAGGAAAATCAGAGGAACTAAAAATACTGGTTCCAATTTTTTCAGAAATGTGTAGGGAGAGGTTCCCTCAACAAGCAAAAATAAAGTCCCTCCAAATTCCGGTGCCGCTAGGGGAAGGAGGGGGCTTTAAACGACCCATTTTTCAGTTTTGCGCTTTTAACTCGAAAATGGTGCGTTACAGTGAAAAAGTTCTTCAGTACAAAATGAAAGCTTATTAAAATTGCTACAAGTTTGGTCATATACATCTTTACGAAAAACTGAACCGTTTTCGTGCTACCCGCTCCGGAAAGGTGGTAATTTCTAAACAAAATTATTTTTCACTCACGTTTTTCGTATATTTTTGGCTTCTAAATCCTACCCTGGTCATTTTAGGGGAAAATCGTCACAATAAAACCTGTACAGCATTAACATCCGTCCGAACCTGCTTAAGTACGAATTATCTCCATACCCCATGACTGATTGTACTGAAGAACTTTTTCACTGTAACGCACCATTTTCGAGTTAAAAGCGAAAAACTGAAAAATGAGTCGTTTAAAGCCCCCCCCCCCTTCCCCCAGCAGCACCGGAATTTGGAGGGACTTTATATTTTCTTGTCCAGTGAACATCTCCCTACACATTTCTGAAAAAATTGGAACTAGTATTTTTAGTTCCTCTGATTGCCCATTTTTGGTCTAAATTGACTGAGCTATACTAGTTCAAACGTTACAGCCCTTTGAATTTTCTTTCGAAATTGGTTTCTAGTCTATAACTTTTGATTGAGAAGTCTGATCGAAAAAGTACGAATTGTTTTGGATTCTACGCACAAAAATTAATAAGAAAAAGTGTTTTCCCGAGAAATTTTGGTGTAGTCGATTTTTGGTAAAAAAGGAAGGTTATACACTGCCTTTTTTTGAGGCCCGAAAAAAAAATTGTCTCAGATTGACCCGGAAAAAAAATTTTCTTATAGAATGTGGCCTGTAGAATCCATAATTTCAAACAGTTCCAAGATTGGGCTACTAGTTCAAAAGTTACAGGCCCTTTGAATTTTCTTTCGAAATTGGTTTCTAGTCTATAACTTTTGATTGAGAAGTCTGATCGAAAAAGTACGAATTGTTTTGGATTCTACGCACCAAAATTAATAAGAAAAGTGTTTTCCCGAGAAATTTTGGTGTAGTCGATTTTTGGTAAAAAAGGAAGGTTATACACTGCCTTTTTTTGAGCCCCTAAAAAAAAATGTCTCAGATCGACCCGGAAAAAAATTTTCTTATAGAATGTGGCCTGTAGAATCCATAATTTCAAACAGTTCCAAGATTGGGCTACTAGTTCAAAAGTTACAGCCCTTTGAATTTTCTTTCGAAATTGGTTTCTAGTCTATAACTTTTGATTGAGAAGTCTAATCGAAAAAGTACGAATTGTTTTGGATTCTACGCACCAAAATTAATAAGAAAAAGTGTTTTCCCGGGAAATTTTGGTGCAGTCGATTTTTGGTAAAAAAGGAAGGTAATACACTGCCTTTTTTTGAGCCCCGAAAAAATAATTGTCTCAGATCGACCCGGAAAAAAATTTTTCTTATAGAATGTGGCCTGTAGGTAGAATCCATAATTTCAAACAGTTTCAAGATTGGGCTACTAGTCCAGTCAAAATAGGAAAATCAGAGGAACTAAAAATACTAGTACCAATTTTTTCAGAAATGTGTAGGGAGAGGTTCCCTGAACAAGAAAAAATAAAGTCCCTCCAAATTCCGGTGCCGCTGGGGGAAGGGGGCGCTTTAAACGACTCATTTTTCAGTTTTTCGCTTTTAACTCGAAAATGGTGCGTTACGGTGAAAAAGTTCTTCAGTACAAAATGAAAGCTTATTAAATTTGCTACAAGTTTGGTTAATACATTTTTTCGAAAACTAAACCGTTTTATGGTATTAATGCCCTAGTACCCATCGAATACAACTGCACAATTGGAAGAATAGTGATTTATTATATATGAAGCCGGAATCCGAGTTCGGGTTTTACCCACTGGATTCGTTTCATCCAGACCCCGTCGTTTTACGCTAACCTTTGGGTGGTGTTTTGAACGGGCACTTATACTAATTTCGGAGTTACGTATTCTAACAATCAAGTTTAATCCCCTTTTGTTCACTAACGGCGACACAGCTGAATTTTGTAGCGAAACCCAGCGCGTTGAATTAACCAGTCCTTGACCGAATACGACTCCAATTTACGCGATGTAAACGCGTGTGTTTCAAAGGGAGGTTTTAACGTTCTCTGGTTGCACAATAAGTCTCTTTATGTTGTAATAAATGACACAGTCTCTTAATCCCCTTCAAGATATTAATTAATTCTACTGTAAAACTCGCGGAACTTGCGTTCAATTTAATAGTTTGCACTTAATTTTTCTAAGATCACGCACTGGTCTCGCTGAGTGTTTACCCACCACGAATCTTTAAAAATTTTCCTCAAAACCAATCCCCTCTATTTCTTATTAATTAAAGCTTGTCGACAAACTGGATTCTTATTAACGCAGACGGCCATCTTGAATAGTTCATTCGTTTGCTTAATTTCCACCCTACGAATCAAATAAATGCTAATGTACGACATTATTCCCAAAGACAATGCAGTTTTCACGATGCTGTAATGACCTCATGCCAAATCCGCAGTTGTCATCAAGACTGAATATGCACTACCTAATCTCCTAACTCCGAACTTAACCACAAAAATTCCCCAAAATAGTGTGGCAATATCAAACATTGGTTACTATACGTGCCGAAGATCACTGGTGAAAAATACGTTTTAGCCAATGGCGTGAATGCGCTAACTTTATTAATTGTTTATTTCTGGTGCGTAGCATTCGTTTAAAAACTCTTTTTCCACGCTGGCATCATATGCGGGGCTTGTAAAAAGACGAGGAGTGTACATGGGGCGTGTAAACAACTTCAGGAACTGGGCTACACTAGGGGCTACATCATGTGGGGTCGGTAACATCTGGGCGCCATCCCCGAGCGTGTTATACTAACGTGGTGATTTTTCAGTTTTTTCCTGTCTTCTTTTACAGTTTTGGTCCGATTGTTTTCAAATTGGTGTCGTCGGAAAGATCTTGTAAACACGCGCAACTCCTACGTGACGCAATTTTTTTTCCTAGGGGAGAAATTAACCATTTTTTACTTTGGGCGCCCAAAAGTGTTTTAGAGCTCGAATCGCGGTCTCCCTCTATCGTGTCTCGACCAAATGCAAATTGCAGGTGAACGGGACATCGGATGCGGGTACCGACATAGGGAATGTAGCCACAAGATCTTAATGATGGTGGAGTGGAGACTTTAAGTACAAAAGTTGTGGGATTTATCATAAATCGCCAGAAAATGTAAAGTAAAAAAAACAAATGAACATTGCAAAGTTAGTGAAACATGCAAATTTTGTATATTTTTAATGGAACGCCCTGTATCTTTTCTTTCTGATTTCAAAAATATATTGTTCTGTAAAGTACATGAGTGTCTCCTTTCTTTAGGTTGAAATAATGCCGACAATGACAGCGAGCTACCCTGTAGTTGAAAGTCTACGTAGGTACTGTAAACGTAATTTAGGTTTAGCATTAGAAATTTCAAGCGGGACATCCTGTATAATGTTTAAGTTTATTTGTTTAGGACCGAGGGACACTTTGATAAAAGGACACAGAATTTCAGGATTTTATTTGATGGTCATTGTAATGTTTAGTTTTTTGTTGTATTTTAAATTGTCAATTTTGAAATCACAAAAAAAAGATCTATTAAATTTTGAAACTGTTACTTTAAGGTTCCTTTCTATCTCTTATAATAAACGCGCTGTCCAAATATACGCAATAACCCTATACATTAATGACTAAACAAAATGGAATAAAAACTGAAACAGTCAATTTTTGTAAAAAAACTTCTCCCGGCCATTGATTTCCAGCAACTGGTACTCCTTTGCTAATTACTCATGAGAAAACAGCGTTCAGAGTGCTGACTTTTTACGATTTCGTGGAGCTCTGTGTTTGGGGAAGTCGAATCACATAAGTACTTAGCTGATATTTTTCATTCATGAAAAAAAAACCACCCTGTCTCCAGTTCCGCATTGTATTGTTTCTTACAACTGTTGATTTGATTTCATAATCAAAGTACGTTTCGTTTTAGACGTGATTTTCACAGGACAAATACGAACACAAGCATCGAGGGAGTTTTTCACAAAATACTTTTGGAGTTTTAAGCTTCTCCATTTTATTCGCACCCGGTTCATTATTTTTGTAATGTTCACGAGGCGGAGAAAATTGTTTTTCGTTACCAAAGTTCAAATTTTGCAACCCTTAAATTCATCGTGTAATTACATCTTTAGCTTATGCCTTTCCTTTCATTATTCAAAGGAAAACCGTTATCACAAACAGGATGTAGCCTTTACAAACGCTTTTTTCCATTACGTATACATCGCATTCCAGACGTTATAATTTATTTTTCATTGGTATTCGCAACGACACCTTTACAATATAACGCCTCGCGTAAGAGTATTGAATATTTCCCCAAGGTGTACAAGGGAGAAAAAAACCGATCATGTCGTGCTCGTGTTGAGAATTTGACTAAACAAAGACAATTGACGGGATACATAATATTTTATTGGACATTTATACATTAATTTATTAGTGTACAATATTTATAGGAAGTAGATCGTATAGATCAAAAAGGTATCTGCTTCTCGCCCCCAGCCCAAAGGCAAGCCGCATTCTTAAAAAACTAAAATTAATTTATAACTATTATATTAACATTACTTATATTTAACTAATCACTTCATTTCGCTTCACTCAATTGTCGGACGATAGGTCGATGCTTGGCGTCTCCTTCCTGCAACAGATGAAAGGTATTAATAATTTAGAATATTAGCTAAACGGTTAAATATAGTAGGTACGAGTATATTAACAATGTATTAGTAAAGTTTAAGCTGAACTAGTTCATCTGACTTTAGAAAGCAAGTTCTTGGGTTAGACACTTTGGAAATAGTGTCCATTGTCAAGTAGTGAATATCGTAGTAAGTTGCTGTTAAGATATTTAATAATAGCGGGGGTGATATTGCACTTTGTATCACCACCTTTTTTCTTTAAGCAAAGCTCTCTAGGATTTCGAACATGATGACTAGATGAGCATTTATGGTAATCTGAAAATCGATCATATACGTAATGTGTGACTTTTATCGCACTGCGTGTAGACGTCGAAAGTATTTTGATGTAAACTCAAATGTTCCTCCCGAAATATTCACTCTCGCTCACGCGAGCGTTTCAGTTAAATTCGGCTAAGAAACGAAACTTACATAAAGTGTTGTTATTTACATTTTACTTTAAAAACTTTTTTTCCTACTGATGCAACATATCCAATCGCAATTTCCTTTTTTTTCTGGTGCATGCGCCTTGAAGATGATACTCATATACCTTCAAACACGCAAATTATTGATGCACCGGTATTTCAATGAATATCTTTGAATTTTTCATTTTTTATTCTTCGGCTTTCAGGAATCAACAATTTTTGTTGCGTAAATCAATTTGTGCCCTGTATGGATTCTAATGGTACATGACATAGTGAGAATGAAATGATTTTTAAACAACTCAATTTCACTGTTTCGGCAAGATAGTAAATTCGCCTTTGAAAAATCACCCTCAGGTAAACTAAAACTTGCTTGCGGGATGTTTATCCTAAAAAATGAACCGTCCCAGATAAATTCGACTGCAAAAAATTCAATCACACTGTAACGAAGCATCCGTTTTCCTCACTGAATTTCAAACCCGAAGTTACGACCACACCGTGTAATTGTCGACCAGCATTGCTGAACACCCGGTATCTATAGAAGCGTTTTAAGCTGGCCGCTTGGTTACTACAAACTGTAGTTTCGGAATTTACTTATTCGCTCTAGGAGACGATGAGTGAGTTCTGTGTTTTCATTTTTGATTTAATTGTTTATTTTACCGCCGATAACGCACGTAAGTTTCGTAGTAAATTTATCAGTTTTCCAACCATTCCGGTAGATATATTTATATTCCGAAAACTCTCTTGCCAGATAACAAGAAGGCAAATTAATATTTTAGAATTGCAGACTTTTGGAAGCTTTTGATATCTTTCTGAAACTGTTAAAGATTACTAAATACCTTTACTTGGTGCCTATTGAAGGTGCTAACAAGAACCGTCCATTTCCGAGTGTTTAAACCAGGGAAAACGAAAACGCAATTTGACATTTTCAGTTTTTCTGTAATCTTTTCAAAGATATTTCACAAATTTCAAATGTCTTTTTTAGCCCCCATTTAACCTACACTCGATGGCTCACTGTTACGGAGAACCCAATGGTGCGCAACGAATTTGAACCACCCTTATAGGTTTATTCTGTATGTTTAGACAGCGTGCAGGGCGTTTATTATAATAGTAACTGTAAATACAAAAGGGGTTTATCACAAATCGTCAGCAAATGTAAAGGAAAAAAAAACAAATGAATATCGCAAAGCTACTAAAAATTGCTAATTTGGAAAATGTTTAATGGAACGCCCTATATATTTTTAAAAATTTTTTTCTGATTTCAAAAATATATTGTATATGCTGACGTTTGCTGCAGCGGTTTTTGAATAATTTGCATTTATAATTCATCATACTGATTAACCAAATCGTAGTTACCATGACAAAACAAATGATTTGACCGCCATTAATAATTAGTTGTTTATTCTGCTGTCAAAATTATTTTATTCCATTCCATCTATAAAATGGGTTGTACAGAAGATGAAAAGGTGGAAATTATATTACAACAAAAAATGTCAATGTAGGTATATTTTTGAATTCAGAAGGAAAAAATCTATGCCATTTTAGGAAAAATATACAGGGCGTTCCATTACAAATTTACAAAATTTGCATTTTTGTTAGTCCAGATTGTTTACATGTATCAATCAATGCGTTAATGACGTGGTTATTGGAGATGTATAGATTCATCGTGTATCTTGGCTGAAGCTATGGAAATCTAGGAAACGGAAAAAGAAGATGATGAGTTGGACATGGTAAATGAAATGGAATCAGAAGGTAAACCATAAAATTCGTCTGATCAATATAGAATTAATCATTTAACTGTTCTATAATAATTTTTGTTGTTTAAGTAAACATTTTTTAATAAAAAAATGTGTGACAATAAAACTAATCTTTTTGAAATAGAAAAAAATAGTGTATTATAATTTCTTTTGTAAATAATCATTTTTCCAATAAAAATAATTTATAATTTCCTTATTTTCCTTAATAAATAAACAATTTTCACACTTAAACGTGAATTATGCCTATTGGGTACACCCCTTAAAAACGCATCTTGTACTCTACCTTAACTATTTGAATCGGATTTTGTCAAAAACTATTAGTTATACGAAAAAAAGTATTAGCATAGCTACAAATTTGATAACCACTATTTTTTCGATAAAAGTGGCCGTTAGCGAGATTTTTGTAAAATACCGTTAATAACTGTGACATGGCGGGGATATTTGGGATGTTGTTGAATCACAAAAGGAAGTTTCATGCAAAAATCCAGCTTTCCCGGAATTTTTGACACCGCAAGGGAAGGTAATTAATTGATTTTACCTTACGTCCGTAGCGAGCATGCGGACCCTTAGCTACAGCTACTTAAACTCCATGCCTTTTACCAATCAAAGTGTGGTGTGTTAGCTACCTAATTCCAGTAAATCTGGTTGAACATCCGAGAAGGCCGAGTGCGTGTATAATTTATAACAATGAATAGTTACAAAAATTATCATTCATTAACTAAAAAAATCTAACTTTTTTTTATCTCACTTCTCCGTACTATACAGGGTAATTCTGAAATTGACATTTTTTGTTTTCCCCCGTATCTTTTAAGCGAGCGAATATTTTCAAATTTTGGTTTTACCATTTTAGTTTGGCCCCAAAAAGAGCACACGACACCATTTTAAACTTTCAAGGAACCTTATACTCGTATTAAAGGCTGTCAAACCTTCTAGGATATTCCTAAGGTCTTTAAGTGTATTTGAAAGTCATTAGGGGTCATAGAGGTTTGAAAGGTTACTTAAAAGCTGTGGAGACCATTAACAATTTTAAAAGCTTTTCCTTAGTTTTAACGCATCTTAAACGATTTTTTCAAGAAGATTTCCAAATACTCCTGGTGACCTTTGACAACGCTGGAGGTTTTTTTTTTAAGTCTGTTAGAGAGACTTGAAGGGCCTCAGTGGCTCTTAAATATATTTAAAGTCTCTCACCTTTGAAGATGCTATTGAAGACCCTTGTAAGTTTTCTAAAGTCTTAAAGATTCTCACATCGTAGAAAATAAAATTACTGAAGGTTAGATAGCCAAAAAGGATGCTCATCATAAACCCGCGACACCTAAATCCGTAAAAAATATTAGAAGTACAAAAAATTATCGGTCCTTAAACGAGCATTAAAAAAGTATTTACTACGCCAATGGAGAAAGGTTGTAGGGTAAATTAGATTAATTTAACGACGGCCGTTTTATCTATCTTGTTTGTTTGAAAACACATGTTGACCAATTAATAGCGCGTAAGGTGACTTAGGCCGTCGCATTTTATGAATAAAGGAAACCAGTTTAAGTGATAACGTGTAAATTGGAATGCATTTGTTACCAGTTGGGTCGTTACCGCGTTGTGGATTGCGTCGATAGGGTAGCCTTTGACTAACTGTAGGGAATGTATTGTGTTTTGTGCCATGGATGTGTGCAATTATTAATGAGAGAAAAAGGTATGCAATTTCATTTTAATACATTTTAAACTCCAAAGAATCTTATAGGAGAAATCGTGTGTTGTTTATCGGAATTTTTATTGAAATTACAAATATTTCCAAAATTATCGTTCAGTACGTACGATTGATTCTCAAATTTGTTCGTGACATATTCGGTCAAAATAGTCGAAACTACTTTCATTGCACTGAAATTTATGAAACAAACATTTGTCCAAGAAAATTGTACTCCAATTTGGGAATTGAAGTTCCATATTTGTTTTATATGATACAGGAACGCGACAATTTTGTAAAACAAGAGCAACTATGACGTGGCATTTTTCTCAATTCTCCGATATTTTTAGAAAATAAGCCTTGACTACCAGATAAGGCCTAAACCCTCCTTAACACCTCTTCATTTCTCACTTTGTCCACCCAGGGAACGGTAACACCAACATTTCTAATAGACCGGGAGATGGTGAAACTTTTTCTGGTGTGATTTGCTACAAGTATGGCGACCATTCAAAGGTTTAATTAAGTAGTCCTTGAAACGAAAATGGTGCTAACTCCCTGGGAGTGGGGCCGTTATTGCGTGACGATTCTTTAAATATGTCGGAAAATTTAATGATTCTGAACAATTTGCTATACAAAATTCTTTGGATTTTCTGGTAGTCGGTGACAAAACAAATGGCGGAAACTAAATGCACTACTTTTCCGGTGGGCCTTATCGCCCGCCATACTAATTTGACGTGTCGATTATTTTTTTTTTGGCGATTTGCTACAAGCTCATTTTTTTATGAGGATCCTCAGTCAGTCATTCACTAAAATCATCCTGCCATGCTGCTCCGCCGGGCACGCATAGCCGCCATACCGCCGCAAAGATGACATTTTTTGTTAATAATTTTGGGCGATTTGCTACAGTATGGCATTTTTCCCACCACCCGCAGCTACGCAGTTTTTGGAATCGAATTTGCAAACTTGAATACCATGATCGACATATCGAATTTTTTTGTGATCATAATATCGACTTAAATCGTTATTTTTTTGTTAGTTGCAACATTTTCGCGAAATTAGATCACTAGTAGGTGGGGGATACTTTGTAATCCGAAGGCCCAATCTTCAAATGAGTATAACCTTTGTTGGAAAAGTTATTTTTAAAAACTGTTCGACAATTTTGTTCCTTAACTCGTCAAGTATGTACACAACAAACTTCGTGGAATTCTCTCCATTTTCGATATCCGGCCAAGAATTGTAGTGGAACTTTTTTTTCGAATTTTCAAAAACTAATTTCAGATTCGTCGTTTTCATGTTCAAAAACCCCAAGATACCAAATTTCGTCGAAATCACTTTTTTTTGCACCCCCAAAGACGTGCCATTCATCTTTGTAACTCTTATGGTTGCTGACAAAAAAATTAAACAAATTTCACCACAGGAGTGCCTCCCAAATGAAACAGTTGGACCCTCGGTTTATTTGGAAAAAGTGCTTGTCCTGATCCCCTCTATCACGCGATTTTTTTTACATGCGGTAATGTTACACGCTATATACCTACTGCATTCTATTTGCAATATTCGTATCTCCACACAAAATTGAGACATCATCATCATCATCCCTTTTGTCCCACTTTCCTTACAACGGCCTTCCAAATACTATTTCTTTGCCTGTTTTACTTTCCTGTTTATTTCATTCCTAATTGCTCTGTACTGTCTTGTTCTCTTCTCTATTTTCTTAATAATTTCCTCTGTTATCCACTCTCTTCTACTATGTGTTTTCTGTCGACGTGTATCTGTTTCCGCGCTCTTTATCATACTAATTTTCAAGTTCACCCATTTTCTCTCTATTCCTGTAATTGCAGATGTGTGACTTTTCGCTATAGGCCACTCTTACTTTTAACCTCTCTAAATCCCATTTCTGATTAGTTTCTTTTTCAGTTTGAATTTGAAGTCACATATACGTTGCACGACATTATAATATTATAATAACGGCGCTACCTTGTGCGAAAACGGAACACGAAATCCGACCACCCTGTACAGTTTATAGCCCGGCGAACCGAATCACTTATAACCTAGAAACTCTGCACATCTAACGAATGTGGAAAGCCAACATGGAATAATTATTATTTTCATTTAATTAAACAAAAATCCAAAATAAATAATGAATCAACCGCTCTATTGCTCTTCTAGTATAAAAACAGTCACGGTAATGCTCTCAGAGAGCCATCCACTGCAAAACTGTTCGCCTGTGAGGTGTACACCAATTATGCTATATGTTTTCATCTCTATCTAGCCCATGCGAAGAAAAGACATAAGTTTTGAAGTGACCGGCTCACACTTAGTTATATTTGAAGAAGGCATTTTGATAATTATATGAAATCAAGTATGATAGTAACAGAATTTTTTGAATTTGTACCGGTTTGCATTCTCTCTCTTGTGCCTCACCACAATCAATTAAGTGAATATCTCGAAACTACAAAGGGAAAATACAATATCGCGGGGAATTTCTCTAGAGTTCTTGCCTTATATTGGGTAGGTCTAGAATGTGTTCCAGACGGTCTTTAAATGTTTATGTGTAAAGAACCCTCTCCTAAGAAGCCAAGAAGCATTGACAAATTTGGCATGCTACTACCTTAAAACCCAAATATGTACTTCAGAGCAATTTTAGTGTATAAAAATGCGCCATATCTGCACAAGAGTTTTGCACAATTTATACTTGTTAAATATTTTCCCTTCCAAATGATTCGTCACACTTTGACTGACGTCTTCAATGTGACATACAAACTACTTTTCCGATCATATCTTAGAACTATTTCAGAAAATCAGCATCGAAATTTCGCTCACAAAGCGGTAATATACTTGCTAACGTGCTTTAGATACTAAAATAAATTTAAATTTCGTATGATCGCTTTCTTCTTAACGCGAAGCCAAATTGAAAAAATGAAAAAGAAGGTTTAACAGTATGTTCGCTTTTATATGAAAAGGCTTGTTGAAAATGTAATATTCTTAGAAAGGAAGTAGAGACGCGAACTCTCCTTGTGAATTACGGGGTATTTATTTGAGGCACATTTTCGAGATGTAAATAAAAGAGAAAAACATTAACTTAATAATTTGATACATACAATTTCAAAAGTCTATTCGAAAATGTGGGCAAAGCTAAAAGTATCTCTTGTTAAGATCCTTAGCCTGGCGGTTTACGCTTTGAAAATCTTGCAGTACTTGTACGATACCCGTCAATCATTTGCCTTGCAAGGTGCGCCAATCTACTTTTGCTCAGAATTTTCTTAAAAAGCGATTATTTCTAATAAATTGTCACATTTCCTCGCCTAAATTAATTCTTATATAATTCTTTATGTAATAAAAATGGGCAATAAGCACAAGAGTGAGAACACAAACTCGACTGAAAGTGAAAAATGTTACAATGCCTGTAGGTACGAATTTATTCACATTCTTAGAAAACCAGTCATTTATATACCAGGGATTTATGCGTATTGTTTTTCCCTATGACTACTTTTAAATGACAAAATGTTTTCTGAAGGGTGCCTAATTTTATGCAACAGAAATAACTATGGAACTATGGAAAATAAAATGTTAAACAACTTTCATATAGAAAAATGTTGTATACATTCAATATTTACCGAGATATATACTATATTCCATACATAATGGGCACCCTGTATTATCAAGAAATTTTATTCCAGGCGATATACAGTGTGTACCAGGTAGAACGCACCATAGGGAAACGGCAATGTTTTTTTTCGTGAAGTATCCACGAAGCCTTTGAAATTAAAGTCCAATTTGCTACTCCAATCTCTTTCTAGCATCAGGCAAGTGAAATAACGTACGCTAACTTCAAATACATCGTGGATCCTTCGCGAAAAAATAAATTAATTCTGTTTCCTGGGATACACGGTACTTCAAACTTTGTTTTCAATTATCTGATCCTTATATATTTCGCATTTGCTTGGATTGATTACAAGTCCCATTTTTTTGCAACTAGATATCAGATTCTCCAAATTTTGGAATACTGTATCTGGTTCCCCTGAAATAGTTCCATCATCTAAAACATTATCAGCTCTGAATTTAGTACACTAATTTTTTCATGTATTGCAAGGCAAAAAAGGAGGGCTCCAGCTGGATGTCCTTGTTGTATTGATTCTGAGGGGATTTTCCAATTGTTGAAGTAGAAAGTTTACGCTTAGAAGTATGGATATAAATAAGGAGTTTTTTTTATTATATCACTCGTAATATGTCCGAGTTGAAAGCATTCTTAAAAATTATGACTGAAAGCAGATTCCTTGTGATATGAGCTCTGTAAATTTCAAAACTGACGAAATTTATTGAACTATTGTGCTTCCTATTTAGATCTATACCCGAATTGTTTGGTGGTGATCGAGAAAATTTATTATACGCATTTTCATATACCAGAAATGGCGTTGTCGATGAATGAAGTGAAATTTTGATCCAACTGTCACACTGGTGTTAATGAATGAGTCGTATACAAAGAAATATTTTAAAAAGAGCATGCAATCTTTGGATGTGTATCTTAAGGATTTTACTTCAATGTAGACAAAGATATAGTTGTCAGGAAAAGTAATTGTGAATATATAGGCTTTGAAAATCGTTTCAGAATGAATAGACTAACGGAGACATTCATTATGCATACAAGTTGGTGATGGAAAAGTTCATGTTCTTAATGACTGGTTACATTAGGTTCACACGAATGCTGATGCGATTTGGAATAGCTGCATTACCATTTTTCTATTTTAATAATAAATCCTGTTGGATAGTATTATGTTAGTGACTGTGCACTACGAAGTGTAAACCATTCTTGCTTGTTTAAATTTTCAAAATCTTTCTAATGGCAACCTTATAGCTAAGGAGTATTCAGAAGACCCCTTTTCAAAGGTTCTAACGATATACAGGGTGACCCCGCGGATCATAATTCCTTTACCATACAAGATACCGAAAAAAAATGTAGGAGCAAAATTGGGCACAATTATCGTCGCCGTGTGCTGTTTATCTTATGGAGTTGCGTGGTTTTTTTTTTCTGCCAGTGGACATTTTGTACCTTTGACTATCCAGAGTTATAATTTGTTTAGGCGGGTTTCATTTTGAAATTTAATAAAAATATAACCTTTGGCCAATTTTCTTTTTTCGATAAAGTATCTAAAGAAATTATGTGAAAGTGGAAGGGGTCTTTTAATTAGTCTGTGTCTCAATTCAACACTTAGCCCCTAAAGCAATTTAGTTTCTCTGAAAAAAGATTCGAAAAACAGTCAAATATTGAGGAAGTATCGTAATAACAGCGAAATCGCTAAAGTGAAGGGTATAATATGTTAGATAAAAAATAAGTACTTTTCGATTACTTTATAAATCTGCAATAAAATATGAGGTGCTCTGTGAGAAACGTAAGTTTGATACGCCACTAGAATACAGCACGTTTAAAAAATGTCATAGCGAACTATGGTTTTAGTGGAAGTCGAATCGTGTTTCGAGTTAGTTCCAACATCGCGCTTTTATGTTATAAATTATGAGTGATAAATACTAATTAACTGTTATAAATTAATCCACTTCAATACTGTTATTATTGTTAATTGGAAATAAATAAATCACATAATGAAATTTATGTTATATTACTTCTGTCCTTACAAAATTTTGGTGGCGTTCTTCCAGAAAATTTCATTTTTGTCACTGTCACTCTTAATGAAATCGTATACCCTCACTATCCTTCATTTGAAACCACACGACTCTACTAAACATCAAAGCGAGCCCAATATTTTGACGAATTGTAAAAATGGGGTGTCAAGTCAACTGATCTACCTCGGTATTCTGCTGAATAGGTATAAAGTGGTGTTAGTTTCCCTTTATCGTCGTGTATAATACAACACCTTATTTTATAGCAGAAGCCACCTAAAACATATAAAGCTTCTGGAAATTCTGAATTTAAGTTAGGCGCAATACAACAATAGCAAGTTTAGGTCTCCCGTCCTTTCAATGGAAACAATATTGTCTTCTGTTCTTAACTGCATTTCGTGCTCCGCGTCCCATTTCTATGACAGATGTCATTGGAATGCACAATCATTTGTTTCACTCTGTGAAAGAGAGACTCATTTAAACCTATTAAAATGCTGCTCTAGAATAAAGTTCCCTATATCTGAGCTTAAACTAAATCCGGACAAAATCCTCAATTATTGACAAGTTTATCTAAATATGTCAGTATCGGGAGGTATGAGATAGGGAATTAACATACCTACACAAACCTATAACTTGAAATGTAAAGGGATTACTGGCCTATAGCTTTACTGCCCCTAGTCACTTTACATAATTATCCAAGGCACTATTCTATATAAGTAGTGGTAGTGTTCGAAAGAGCCTCAAGAAATTAGTTTATAGTTTACGGACGGATATACATTCGACAATTTATCGGTTTTGTCTGATGGTTTACAATTCTGCATGCACTTTTGATTCTGCAATCTACACTACATCGATTGTTTGAGCTTTGCTCATTCAAGCTCCACTATAAATTTTATGTTTTATAAAAAATGAGCTGCTGTAGCTATACATCTGGGATAATCATTAAGACTTCATCTGTATTAATAACAAAGCTAATTCAGATGATATCAGCTCGGTCTCTAAATACATGAAGAGATTATTAACAGTACGAAAACGGAAAGCGGCAGAGATAAATATTTGAGCACGATTGAGGGGTTGATGAAATAATATTCTTAGTCATTAGTTCGCCCCCTTCAAATTGAATAATCGATTCTTTGTTAGTGTAAGTGCAGTTTTATCGATATTTATATGTTTCACATTTTAAGTATTTCATTTGCTTTGCAGGTGGGACCGACGCACAGATTTTGGGGGTGAGTATTTCAAGCATTTTAAATTTATAGTAATTGGCTATGGCTATAATTATGATGCTGTAAACAGACACGCTAGAAAAAAGTAGGATTTATTTTAGCTGTTGACTGAAAATGTAATAAAAGGTGGATTGCAATTTTGAAATTCACCAGAGGCACACTTTTTTATCTCGATAAAATGAAAATGCGACATTCTGTATTTGGTGTATTTGACGTTGGAGTGAGATTCCAAACGTTTCAGTAAATTACTATAGGTATTTCCTGCAGTTTGTATTCCCCATAGTTTTCTTTAATCTCGAAATGACTGAAATTATGCATGTATCTATTTTTACCTGCTTTGTTAGATACCCACAATTAAAAAAAACTTTTTCTTATTCGTTCCGAATTGTTCTACACATTCAGTGTTGCTGCGAGCATGAAATTTATTCACCTCAATTTTAATTTTATATACCTACGTTGAATGAACCGGAAAGTTTCTATTTGAAAATGTATGCGAAACTTGTTGGAGAGTTTGGAGGTATACCTACAGCATTGTATCTCGATTTCCCACTCCCATTAACTTTTGAACTATCGCTCACCGCAGTTTACACTTGGAAAGTCTTTATTAGTGAAATTGTTACACATTTTTCCTGTAAATTTATTGAACTATATTCCATAATACACTTTCAAGGAATGATTCAAATGATTAAAAGTATCGGATTACTGCTTTTTTGTTATCTTTGTTTGTACTAACGCATTACCTCTCCAAAATGGTGCCTATGTATATGCTAATGCTGTAACGCATCAATTTCCCACTCCCTGCGCGACAAAACTGTAATATACAACGAGGAGGTTGACTAGGTCTGAGCCACCCCATTTCGTGTACTTGATATTAAATTGTATAAATATACCCTTCCTCTGGTTATCTTCACCATTTCCAATTCGTCCATAGCTTGATTTAAAATTATTCCTAATTCTATCTATTTAATTTTTTGAAAATGCAGCTCAGAAATCAAAATTGCAAGTAAACACTGCTAAAAAAATAACAGAAGATAATGATTTGCAAAAATCAAATTTGGGGTAAATCTAGTAATAGTTGCCTGCGATTTTCCCCTTCTACCATTAGTCTAGCTAAATATTTAAAAAATCCCCACATTAAAATTTGACGGGCATTTTATATTACCTTTTCGCAACCGATCTTTTCCCCCTATTTCGACTCTGACCGAAACTGCCTGTTACCAAAGGGAAATCTCAACCGGAAGTGATTCGCGGCCAATTTGGCGCTTTTTTCCTAATTGAATGCTAGGTGACGTGGAAACACCACCAGTATGAATAAATACACGTTTTCAAGCATGGTGAATCTAAAAATACATTCGAAAATTAAGTATTTTACAAGATGGCGGCCAAAAATATCTTAATATTGCCATTTTCATTTAAAAACTAGCTTAAGATGTCTACATACAGTGTTATTTATTAAGAATAGTCCAGTCATTCTATGCCAAAAAACGGCAAATAGAAAAAAAATCATTCGTGTAGTTCCAATTTTTTCGTGAATGCGTGGTTCATCGTCCCCTAATGATAGTGTAATAAAGTCCCGAGCGATTTTGGTGCCGCCGGAGGGTGGGGAGGGGGTACAGTTTTTCGACTTTATCCCGAAAATGGGGGGTCGTAGGAAAAAATCAAAAACCAAAAGTTTTCTACAACTTTGTTTTTATACTTTTTTTTTACACAAAACTCATTGTTTTCGATCTACATGCTTTTGAAGTTGAGCAATTTTCAAAAAACTCTCTTTTTCCGGTAGAACCTGAACACTTTTAACGTATAAGTGGATGGTTGTAGGATATTAAGTTTCCTTCAAGAATCATTAACATGTGTGGTGTTTATGCTTCGACATTAAATGAAATTTCGTGAGCGAAGATACTGTCTAATTCGGATATACGTACAATTCCTCTCCATGAGAGAATCGTCTACGTTCTCTTAATCTTCTGCTAGGATTGACGGAGAGTTAAAACAGCTCCTTTGACTCTTGGCACAGGCAATGGGGTAAAATATGTCAACCTTCTTGCACCCAGAGGTGGCCCCAGTTGGTAGTAGAACAACGGCAAAAAATGGTGTGTAAAATTTCCAAGTTCAGCAGTGACTGGAGAAATAACTCCCTCCAGAACAGTGGGGTTGGAAAAGAGGCGATGATGGACACCTTCACAGAGTAAGGAACACAGCTCCGCCAGCCCCAGAGGAAATTTTAAAAGCCATTTTTGCCGTTGTTCGACCAACTGCAGGGTTATTTGTGGGTGGGGTGGGTGGGCTGGCATATGTTGCACCATTACCTGTGCCATGGAGAGGAATAATACGTATATCTGAATTAGACATTATCTTCGCTCACGAAATTTCATTTTTTTTGTAGGTAAAGTCGAACTGTCGAAGCACACCACCACACATTTCAATGATTCTTGAACGAAACTTAATTCCCTATAGGAAAAGTTCAACCGAAAACTGAGTTTTTTTTTAAATCGTTCACCTTCAAGAACCCGTAGCTGGAAAACATTGAGATTTTTGGAAAAAATGAATAGAAACAAAGTTGTAGACAATTTTGAGCTTTGGATTTCGATTTGATTTTTTCGTGCGACCTCCAATTTTCAGGATAAAACCGAAAACTCCACCTTCAACTTCCTTCCCACCCTCCGGCGGCACCACAATTGCTCGGGACTTTATTATATATCAGGGGATCTTCAGCCACACATTCCCGAAAAACTACACAAATTAATTTTTGTATATTTCCTAGAATGGCTGGACTAGAAGTAGACGATTTACGTGATTTGTTTTTCCCAACGTCTACTTTTGAATGTTGAAATTCTTTCTGAAGGACGCCTAATTTTATGCAACTAAAATAACTTCGTAAAACAAAGGTCTGGCTGTCACATTAATTTGAATACTGTTGCTTGGGTTTCCGTGTTTGTATTTTCGTTTGTGCGCGATGTATTCAACTGAAAAACAAGTTGATGTTGTCAATTGGGATAGTATAGTACAGGAGCGTAAGAGATTTTTATTTTCCGCCAAAGCAACAATATTCAAACTAATTAATATGGCAGCCAGATGTTTATTTGTTTTAAACAGTTATTTTGGATGCATAAAATTAGGCGCCCTTCAGAAGAGATTTTGCCTTTTGAAAGTAGATAATAGGGTTTGAATTTCATCTTTAAATGAGTTCAACACATTCATTCATTTTGCAAATTCGGAAATTTCAAGAAAAAGGATTCGACCTTACTGTTAAATGCTACGTCAAAATTTGCACTTTACCCGTTATTGACTACAATATCAGTTTCTGCCCTATTTTTCCTACTCCTTGCTAGAGCTAGAGCTCCTTTGCTAAATGCGACGAAATTATAATTCCTAGTCTAACTAATCAAAACTTTTCCCAAGTAGGGCCATACAGCAAAAATTTAACCATTTGTTCACATCTTACGTTGGGGTACACGAACTGATCCGTGTAGCTGAGAGACATTCGTTCAAATATTAATGGCGTAAAAGGAAACGCGAGATAAGTCCATATGTAACGTAGTGTATCCTTTTTACTTTCAACAAAATTTATGTACGTTAAGTGAAGAAATACTGGCAATTATGAATTAAATATACTCCATTCCAATAAATAAGATGTCCCAGTGGCATTCGAGTTTCGATTTGTTTCAACACAGCCATTGCAAAAATGTTCACGAAATTGGAGGAATTGAAAATGTATTTTCATAAGGCGATTCTACGTATCCGATTTTCCAATAGAATAAGCGAAAATGTACGTACGACGAATTTGCATAATGCAGTTATTACCGTAATGTCATTTTGTGTGCCTAGCGGAGTCTACTTACTTTTGAGCACAACGATAAAGATTCGAAAATCCAGTGTAAGCGCATGATAAATCTAGATCTTCAACGTTGCCACATAGTGGTAGTGTGTCGGTTAGGTATGATAGAGGCGCGTTGCTCATTGTACTCGATCGCTTGCCGTATCTGAAAAAAAAAGTAATCTAATTAGCAATGAGGAAACCAGAATGGCCGAATGGGATAAAATACTGTCTGATCAAATTTTGTTCTCAACTTGTTATCTGCCGCAAAATTTGTAAATGAGGCCCTCTCTCCCTCCCCCGAAATTAATTAATAGTGTACTTATTGTGTTTCATCTACGATTATTAAGGATCCTCAGATCCTTTATAATGTAGCGAATATTCTAGAAATCCCGATAGACATCAAGGCGCCATGAAAGATAAAAAACGAAGGCGAATGTGACGCAGTCTTTCCGAGAAATATAACGTGTTTGTTCTAGAACACTCTAAGCGTCTTTGAGCACTCGGGAACATTCTCGAGAGAATGTTGTTTGTGTAAGTGCGTGTAATTTTGTAGTGTGGTTTTGTTTAGGTATTGCTGATGTTTGTCTTGAGTCAGTGTTAGATAATTCATTGTCAAACTCTTTTTGAAGGGATGTGAGTGTTTGGTTTGTGTGGTTATTTGTATCTATCTATTATGTTAATAATTGATAAACCTTCAATCTTAAACCATTATCAAAACTAACCAAATTAATCTCACAATTCCATTCTCTGTAAATTGAGATTTTCACGCCAAAGAATTTAAATAAGACACTAGATGCTAATTACAGAAAACTGTATTATCTAAGTACCCCTGCAGTTCCAACAAACGCCACTAGATGACCCTACATAGAAAATTACAGAAAACTACGAGGGTTGGGGATTAAGTCATTGCAATTTTTTTGGCAAGATTGTAAAAGACAGTAAGTGACAGTGCACACTGAATTGTCAAACACAATTTAATGATTATTGGTTACCTTTATATGTACATTTTTATTCTTACACCATATTTTACACTTATTATACCGTTTTCCATATATCTTTTGAATTTTGGAGGCAGTAGGTTTCTTTATAACTTGTTCTTAAGAATTTTAAACGATAATTTCTATGCCGTAGTTTTAAACTAGAATCTTTAAATCAAACTGACATTTATCATTTTGCGGTCCCAATTTGACATTACAAGGTATATTGATCAAACAAATTTTTAGAGCATTTTTGGAAAAAATACCCTATTATATTCATTATGGCTGGCTAGCTGTCCGACTGAGATCTCAGAATTACAATAGCTAGAGACTTCAAATTTTCACTAAAAGCTTTCTGTTATAGTGCAGGCACTAGTCTATTTTGAGTTAGATTACTCGTCAGATCGATAATTTTACTTTGCTAATGAAATCTTGATATGCATGACCAAAAATGCGCTTTCATCATGCATATGCTGATTTACAACTTGTTTCTTTCAAATTTGCACTTTAACATTGAAATTCAACTACGTTTCGGGCAACAATCTGCACCCTCGGTATTAAAACACACACTTTAGTCCCTGCTTTAGTCCCTTGGTATACAGGGTGACAATTTGAAAACTTACCACCCCCCATATCTTAGTAAATAAACGAGATATTTAAAAAAATCAAAATCCGTTTCGGTAATTCGGAGGGGGAATCACAATGACATAGTTGGCGACGCACCCCCTCCAACCCCCTGCGCCCCAGCCACCCCAACTTTTAAATCTTAAATAGTGACCCCCCATGTGTGATACGTCGTTGGAAAGCTCTGAAAAAATGCTTTCCAACCATACCAAATAGCATTACATTTAGGTTAGTAATTATCGTGCAAATCAAAAAATAGATAAAAAAAAAGATATGGGGGGTGGTAAGTTTTCAAATTGTCACCCTGTACATATAATATACTATTATAGAGTACGTAACGTGGTTAAAAATGAATGATATAATGTGATGTTGTAGATCTAGTCAAATTCAAGTTATCAAGATTTTGAAATCGGTAACAGGTTATCTTCAAGCCAAATGTAACCATTCAATCAGTCACAATTTCTTCGTATGGTATGGGCATTTTGGGTTTGTTTTGTGTTGTATCGGTGGTGACAAAGGTAAAAGGTATCCCTAAAATGCTATACAATGGTTGTTAGGGTAATACTACATCACAAATTAATCATTTTATTTTGTATTTTAGGGGATATAAGGAACCACAAGAAATAATAAAGAACACAATATAATTGGGGATAGCGGTAGGAAGATAAATGTGGACAGTCCAAATAGAACCTCGTATCATATTTGTATAACAAAAAATATCAGTATTTTGTAATATTGCATTCGTCGTATGGGCAGTCACGACAGAATTTGATGTCGGGGTCAAGAATCTTGAACAGGGAACAACCAGAGGTCGCACATGATCTCAACACTCTTAGACGACCGGTTGAATCATTATCTAAAAAGAAATGGAGATTTTTGTGTATTCCATAAGATATTACTTACATGAATAATAAAAGACACAGTAACTGCCGTCACATGAGACAGTTTCGGTAATATTGTTGAAGTAGCGACAGTCATTAATCTCTTGAGCGGAACTGGTCTCCCTAGCATAGCAGTAATTGCATGTTCTACCTATTTTTAGATACTGTTCGTGCATACAATCATAAATAAACGTGTCGTTACATACCTGACTCAACACCTACAAATAGGAGAGCAATAGGAAGCAATACAATTTTAAGATACATGTCAACACAACACTCGTAAGTCGTAACTCGTTATGGGTAGTTGCGCATTTATACCTACCTGTCAAGAGGTTCGATAGATTAGATACAGAATTGATAATTGGAAGACTTCTCAACACAGAATATGTAGTGAACATTTGGAAGGAAAGGAAGATTAATAAAAATTAGATGGATCTGATGAAGTCTGTACAATTCAAAGAGTCAAAAGGATTTGAACAAAGCGGAAGAATGTAGGGGCTGATATATTTGAAGAATTTGAAGAAAATTAAAGAATTGAGCGCAATAGAAAAGATTTTTTTACTCCATAACAAAGTACTTGATTTGCTACATGTCGAATTTATCAAGAGCACACAGGACACAGCCAAACAAGATAAATAATTTGATACGTGATAAGTATAGATTGATAACTAAGAATTCGCAAATAAAGCACTTAAAATTAGTGATACAATATAAATTTATTCTCGGAGTTAAGTGTCTATTGTCATTTTTATCAAACAAATGAGCATTTAGTCTTCCCAATGCAATTCAATCAAGATTTTAACTTCTTGCAGATTTTGATTTTGTGTCAGTGATTCTTGCACCAATCACCAATGTACAGATTACTATGTTTCATTATACTTCGTACAATTTAACTAAAATAGGACAAAAACCCCTGGGCAAATGACCCCTATCCAGTAACCCCGATTAACCTTCGGATAAATAACCCCCCGGACTTCAAATAGCCTAGTGTCCAACACTGCTGGGTGTCACTAAGGGCTGGTTGCACAAACGTAGTTTAATCTTCGTTTAAATTAACGAAATGGATTAAGACATATGATTAGTGGAAATTTGACAAAACGTCAAATTTCAACCAATCCTAGACCGTAATCCACTGGTTCATTTCAAGCTAGGTTTAAACTGTCTTTGCGCAACCGGCCCTAATAATACTGATAATAATGAACTAATGATAATGATTATATAAACCCACCATTAGAAACCTCACTGTACAATTGAAATTCTCCCAATTTAGCAAACCCCCAATCAAGAATGATCGATGAAGAAACTAATTATTGAATCTTAAAATAACTTTTCACAAATAAATTCGCACGTATAGCGCCAAGTACAGGTAAAACGTAACATATAACGCAACTCTTACCTTCAATAAACCCTGGAGTAAACCTAGATATTGACGCTCAGTTAAAATCAAAAGACCGCCCAAGCCGCAGGGTTCGGAATACCGGGTGAATACTTTCAAACCGAACATAGGGAATTAACATGGGAAAACAGTTTTTCGCAGCTTGTTGCTCCCCAAATTAACTTAGAGGGTTCATTATGGCACCACTGACAAGAAGATTTTTTTCTCATCTAACTAAATGCGAATTAGTTAAGTTTTATTTGTATTTTCTCATTATTTTATCAAAAATTCCCAAAATAAAATTAAACTCAGAAAATCATGTAGCAATGACCCGTAATCGCAGATAAAGCAACAATTACCGATGGAAATTGCAGTACAACAAATTACAGCCGAAACAATAAAAAGGGAAAAACGCAAATGCATATTCTCACTAGGAGTGTGTGCGAATCCAGTCCACTAATTACTCCATAATTCCCAAATTATGATTCCTATCCTCAAAGATAAATAAATTTGGAAGATGGCAATGGCATTTAGGATTCCATGCATCTTACCCTTTCGGCAAAATTGCGTGGTTAAATTCCATCAATAGATGGAGCCATCTATCAAATAATTTTAAAATATATGGGGGTCTTTTAACAAGTAATAAACCGTAAACAATAATAATACTTCGTAATGGAAAAAATAAATCGTTACAAGGCTGTTTAACCTGGTCGCTTCTGTGCGAATTCCATCGCCCGAAGGTTTGAGATCTGAGCCCTAGAGTTCGTAGAAAACTATGGTTTTTTTATAGAATAGATTGCTGTATACTTTTTAGCGCATTTCCACAAAAAAAAATGCGCTATTGTGGCCACTTTGTCCGTCCGTCCGTCCGTCCGCTCGTTTTGCGACGCTACTAGTTCTTTATCTTAAGAGCTATTGTTCTACTTTTTTCGCTATTTGGTTCGTTATGGTGTCGAGTCTTGTACCAAGGAAGGAATTTTTTCTGTACCGCTTACAAAAAAAGTTATTGTAAAAAAAAACAAAAAACCGTTTTTTACATGTTCCATAATTTTACACTTTTGCCGTTTATTAACGATCCTAGAGATCGTTTATAATTTTGCATTACTATCTGTCGCCTGCCGGTTGGTCTCTCCGTCTGTTCCTTTGTCTGTCTGTCCATCTATCTGTCCGTGTGAACGATAACTTTGTTTAGAAATGTTCGATCGCTTTTACATCTCCGTTAGTTATGAACTGAATTGCATGAAATTCAATATGGGCATAGATTTAGCCATATAATACGCAATGCCAAAAGTTGAATCGAATCGATTCAAAATTCACAGTGCCCTTTTCGCATCTCGACCATTTATAAACCGAATTGCAAACTTTTTTACTTATAAAAGTATTTGAATGAAATTTGATACATAGGCACTTGGAATAAAGGAAAATCAAACGCCAATTTCAAAATTTGGTTTTGCGCATGCGCAGTGCCAACTTTTTTTATTTATGGAAGAATTTAAACGAAATTTGATACATAGGCACTTCGAATAAAGGAAAATCAAACGCCAATTTCAAAATTTGGTTTTGCGCATGCGCAGTGCCAACTTTTTTATCTATGGAACCATTTAAGTGAAATTTGATACTTAGGCGCTTGGAACAAAGGAAAATCTAACATTAGTTTTAAAATTTAGGTTTGCACATGCGCAGTTCCAACTTTCTTATTTAGAAAAGCATTGAAATGAAATTCTTCTCATAAAGTGAAATTGAAGTAGCACGTCAACAATGGATTGCCCATGTGCAACGCTATCTTTCAAATTTGTGGCCGGATTTTTACGATTTTAACAGAAGTTGCATCTTACGATGGGAAATGAATGCAAGTGGAAATGCGCTTTATATAAATCGTTTACGATTACTTTTTTACTTGTTTTATATGAAATTATACACGAGATACCAGCACATTTGAAATATTGACGTGCGATAAAAAAATTCATTTGATTTGCTCGTGTAATTAGGACGCATTAACGCCATAAATTTGATGAGGACGTCCATATAAATGACGGGCTTTTTTTTAATTATCCCCCAATAATTGACACCCACATTGGCGTTAATTGGAACGTGACACTTACTTATGCCGAGTATGAAATTGATAGATACGCTTTACTTTGCGACTTATTTTTTATATTCTCAAAATTTATTCATCCCTAAACATTGTGTACTTAGTTTCAAATTGCATTTTCCGCAACTAAGAGGGAAATTTATATTAATAATATTCATCAAACTCCGGATTTCCAAATCGAAAATGCTTTTTATTTCAACGCTTCGGTTCTGATCAAGTAATATCGCACGCTTCACGTCACTATTAGTTCGATAATTACGTTGGCGTTAAAATTTAATTTGTGGGCATAATAATCTTCAGATATCGAATAACAACCCGTTGTTCATACGGCTTATTGCATTGCTATCATACGTAATACCTGTTTCACGTAAATTACTTCCCTTTCGGTGTCTTTAACCAGATTTATATCAATATTGTAGTGGATTTACAATCAGACCGTTGCGATTCTGCATCGATAGGAGAAAATAATAAATTAAACAAATATAGCAAACGAGCTCCTGGGTATGGCTTGGCTGGCATTACGTATTATATGACTAAAGTTATGCTCATTTTGAATTTCATGCAATTCGGTTCATAAATAACGGAGATGTCAAAAGGGCCTACTTTATTTTTGGACCTCTAATGCCAATTTACAAACTCCAATCTACAAATTTGATAAATTTAATCGTAAATTCGTTTTTGAGATATCGTGCTAACGGACGGACAGACAGACAGACACCGCAAAACTATAAACTTGCTTATTAATAAACTGATTTCGCAGCTTCGATTTCTCTAGCTTTATTTACCTAAGAAAAATCTAACTTCAATCTTTTAATTGATTTCTAATTAATAAATGATGCATTGCCACTCTCCTCTTCAAATAATCATATGTACCTACGCAACATTATTCACAGTTTGTTTCTTATACTGTGCGATCAATATTGAGTTGCTGCGCCGCTTCAAGAAATTATGACGTTAGTAATCATTTGCCGCAACAGGCCTGGTGCACCAATACTAAAACATAACCTTAAAGTAAACTTTTGACGTTTAACCATATTTAACCTAAATCAACGATTTAACCACCTTGTAAGTTTCCAAATTATGTGGAACTACACGAATAGCAAATTACTACAAAAATTGAAACGATTTTATTTCTTTTACAACTCATTAACATCGAAGTAATTGGGCAAATTACATGCACACTATAACAACTGTTCGAAGTGCTTGCCACCATTATTAAGACATCCACTCTTTTCTTCATGTTTTCGAAGACGGCATGTAAGTGCTGTTGCGTAATGTTTCAAACGGTCGCTTCTATACCTGCTCGTAATTCGGCAATGGTGTGTAAAAGGTTTCGAATACGTTACCATCTCGTAAATTTGCATGCAATAATTTACGGTTACTTTAAAGGATAGAAGTACAATTTTCTCCAGGCAATAGCGTCACACGTTCCGTATGAGATGCACGTTAGTGGGACAAATTGTCGCAGCTGCTTTTTCCGACTTTGCTCAAGACGAGCAACATCTTTTACCACCTCCTTATTAGCAATCACTAAGCGGCCAGGTGACTTCCCAGAAGCAAGACTTCCTGTATGTTAAACCGCTCAAGTACACGATGAGCATTTCGGCGTATATTGTTGTAATCCTCGTCATGGTTGACATTCGTTTATCGAAACTCCTGTATACACAAACGTATCGAGTACTCCCAAACTCCACTTTCGTCTTTAGTCCCATTACGGAAACAGGACAGCAAACGCATCTTATTCTCTTCTAAAGTAAAAGGCTTGTCGGAGTAAACCTATTGCCTATTACACGCTACAACTAAAAAAACGTTTGTTTGTAATTTACAAGTAATTTACCCACCTTGTAAATATTCGAAAGAAACTGGTAGTCTTGAAAAAAGCCGTTTTGAAAGGGACGAAAGTATTCGAATAAGAATCACAAATCATGGTTTTGGTTTGTAAAATTATAGGTTATGTTTTGTATTGGTACACATATACCTGGTTGCGGCAAATGATTACTAATGTGATATTTTATAAGAGCGGCGCAGCATATGATTATTGATCTCCCTGTACTTTATTTCGTATTATATGTATTGTAGAATGTCGTTCATGCTTCAGTTAAATATGAGTGAGAGGTGCCTACGCTTTTGTCGAATAGCAATGTTTATTACGAATGCAGTCGACTGAAGCTAAAAGTAAACGTACAAATTGATAACATCTTTTTTATGCGAATTCCTGGAGTGTATTTTCCCATATCATAAAGCCGGAAAGGCAACATTGCGTAGTAATTCAAAAGGACAATAACTGCGCGATGCTCATTTCACATTCTTTATTTTGTGTTTCGCGATACTGTTCTACATCTCGCATGGTTCAAATGCATTATATTATCGATCGACAGCATGTGAGAATACAAGGTTTTGTTTCGAAAGCTCATAAGAAAGATAAAAGGTTTACCTGGACGCTAAGAAGAATTTGTCCGTTCTCGGTGCGACAATAACGTGCTTTGCTCCGTTTGTACCACTCGTCCCTCCGCCTCCTCGACCGTACCTCGATGACATCAGAAATGGTCTATCTGAAAGTAAATTTATACATTTGTATTTTGAACATTAAAAAACACACCGACTTGAAAAAAGCCGTTTTGAAAGGGACTATGATAACATCCTAAAAAGTCAAACTTTTCGTATTCACCCTGTATTTCAGAAACAAACGTTGCTAAGATGGATTCTGTTTGTGGTATTAAAAGTTTCACAAAAATCGTCTCGATCTTTAAAAACAGCTAAGATGGCTACTTTTGAGGAACATTTACCAACTTCCTAAAGTTAAATAAGCGCCATATTGGATTTTTAGATTACTTGATAGATTTTTAATTCTCTTTTCAACGCTATCATAGCATAAGATTGAAAATAAATACCAGTTATATCAACGGTTTTTATATGTTAATCAAGTAGTCTGTGATGAATTAAAAAAAAACAAAACAAAATCTATTCGAGGCAACAAAACAATGAAAATAATTATATCAGATGTTTAAAATACTGGCCGTTTTCCGAAGGATTTCGCCGACAGAAATTTCCAATCTACAACTCCCTTCTTTGATTTTTCCGAAATATTGTTGCCGAGCGTGCTCGTTTCATGTGCAGAAGGGCATTCTTTTTACGAGAAACAGTGATATTAATTTATTAATGTAAAAAATTAAGGGTTGTATATCTTTTAAAGAAAAATAGTCATAACTTATAATCTATTGAAATTTAAAATTTATTAAGTAAAATTGAATCTGTGTTTTCTTAAAAATGTCAACCTCTTGGCAAGTTTGAAGCCACTTGTATTGCGTGTATTTTTACTATTTATGAACCCATTGACTTGTAAATTCTTCAATATAATTTTATATGTGACATTACTCTCCGATTGCATATTAAAACCCCTGGTATTAATTGCGGTTTGACCGAAATTGGAGACAACTTTTGTTTTGCAATGCTTATATTTTTTAAGATTATTCAAAAGAGCAAACAATTTGCTGTACGACCACAAAATATGCATATGGCTGATATACATAAAAATGGAGAAATTCGTGATTCAATATTTAGACAACTTATGAAATCTAGCATGCCGTGTGACCCTGACAGCAGACGGCAGTCGGCATGTTAAACGATTTCCACGGCTATCTCGCTTACCTTACAATTTTCTTAGTCAATTTTGGACCTATTTCGTTTTAAAAGCCTCAAAAGCAAAATAATCTCCACACCGGACAACTTTGCTGACAAACAAAGAGTTAGTCTCAAAGGATTTACTTATATTGAAATATGAATTAATCAAACTTAGCCTCCATCTACAGTCCTTTAAAATATCAAGTCCAGTGCCCAAAATTGCATTAATTATTTGTGAAGTGGTTACTCTTTAATTTAACAATCCTTTTAACAATGAACAAGTAACGTCTCTTTCACTTTTTACGACCACAGCATAATTCTTAACCAACTATAAATTTGAACTCAGTTAGAACGCTTTCACTATTTAATATTAGATTAAAAAAATAGAAAATAAAATTCTATTTACTTCTAATTGGGTTTCATACAGAAAAATTTCAACAGGTTATAACCAAACTTAGAGAAGAATGTCTCTTTATTAACTTAACAATAAAATCCTAAACTAATCAAAATTACTCTAGGCTAATTTTATCGCTTCGTTAAATGACAAAGGGAAAAAATTCCACGATCATGTCTTCGTGTTAATATTATAAAGGACACCTAATTCTTTTGGAAACTTATCTGAAGTAATTTAGAATAAAAATTTTGTTAATTCTTTATTTAAAGAATCCACTTTGCCTAACTCTTAAACTGCGCTAGCTAATTCGAAAAAAATAGTGCCATTAGAAGCGACTTAGAAACTAAATCCCTTTAAATGATTTTTTGAAACGCCCGATTTAATACAACGTAAAGCCAAAGTACTGAGTACACTCAATCAGATTTACTCATTTATTAAGGCCCGGCATTTCCACGTCTCAATAACTTTATTCTCCGAATAAATTCCATGGATACTATTGTCGACACAATCGTTGAGATGGAAAAGCTGACCCTAAGTAGGTTAATACAGGAATAATTTCCTTTCATCGTAATTTAAGTTGGGTATGATTGTATGCTCCATTCTGTACTAATAAGATACAATGGAGTTCCCGGACTACGGGGGCGTACGGTCTTTGTATCGAGTTACCCGTGATAGTTCCGCCACTGTACCCTTATTTTCAAAACTGATTTTGAATGTCCGTAGTTTTAGTAAGAGCCATTGAACTTTAAAATAAGTGGGGTCAGTTCAATCTCGCGTATTCCGTTCCCAAAACATAATTATCATGTTTATCAAAGAGTTTCGCGAATGTGTTTAAAAAACGATTTCTACGGAATCACAAAAGTCTAAAATTCGATCTGAAATTATACGTTTGTTATTCTGAAGTGCTTGAAATTGAATTACTTAAGACAAATACGTGCTTTACGAATTCGATTAATTAATAAATGTATAATTAATTTTTCGATTTATCGAGACGATCGCACCATACGACGCTTTTCCACGTGCAAGTGAGGGTCCCGAGGGATCTCGCTTTATTATTTGTCAGATTCACAGGATTCGTTCATACGAATGTCGCCAAATCGGTTTAATGTTTCTGAAGGTTTGATATAACTTTCATGCATTGAAAAGAGGGCGGCTATTATATTCTTGTAATGGAATAATGGAAAGCTCGCAAATGTAGCTATAAAGCTGTAAAAACTAAAATAATTGCGAATTTGTTGAATTTTAGAAATTCGGAAAGGTTGCTGTTAAGGCGTGGAAGATTTCATTGAGGTGGTTCTGCTTTATTTTCGAAATTAAATACAAATAAGTTAATTAATTTTATGGATCGTACACTTGATTAAAGGGGATAATAAAAAATTGTGTACCGTAAAGGTAAATAGTTCATCTAATTTGTGTAACTATTTGAGTTTTTTAATTTCAATATTTGGACATACAGAACGAACGAACCATCGAATGTAATTGGTAATTTCGATTTAAAAAAATTGCAAAAACGCCCATTTGAATAGAGGGACGTGTAATGAAAAGCTTACCGTAGTTATCATTATTAACGGTCATAAAATTCTATTTACGAATGCTCCCACAAAATCAAAATTGGATCGTTTGGTTACGATAAAACTAATTTTATTAAATGCTCAACATGTCCTCCCCGCCTATACACAGACGATAATACAGTCTGTGCTCAAATTCATCATGGACAAATAAAGTGTGTCTTGTAATTTTGATTCTACATTCACTTGTTATTCCGTATCAGATGGAGTGTATGCAACGGTCTTTGTCGCAACAAAGTTTTGAAATTCTGAACTAAAACTGTACTAAAATAAAATGGATTAGTTTGCGTCGTGCAGACAATGATTTACTAAATTTTACCTTTTTTGGGGGTTTTGCTTGCTGCAAACTTTTCCCTTTGCTTTCTATTTTCTATTTCTTTTCTACAACACTAAATGTAAGTTAAAATTAACCTAATTTCCAAATGATTTCCATATGCAGGTTTCTTTACTACAATGAATTTTTTACAATACGTAGACTTTTTAAGAACATTTTAACGTAATCCCAATTGAAATAAATAAATAAAAAAATAAATAATCTAAATCCTCAAGTTTAACACAATGCATATACATCGGTACACACCTAAACAAATTTTTTATTCACATTTTTTAAGAACGAACCCTTGAATTTGGCTGGCTGAAAAATTGAGATTACTGAATAAAAAATTTGAATTCTAGAATAAAAACGAAACTTAACTCTACACCAAATTCTATGCACTCATTACGCATTACGATTTATATCGGACAAAAGTGACTGAATCCTTTAAGACCAATTAATTAAAGCTTTACGTTATAATTTTATACAAATTCTTTCTACATTAAATCTTCAAGGTATTCAATATTTACTGGTCTTCTAGTTTCTGGAAAGGATTGATTTTCTTAACTTCTAGATACAGTTTGATGGATATAGTTCAGACGTTTTCTTTAAAGAAAAATGCATTTGGAAAACTCGCCGATAAAAAAGTCTTCTGGTAATGGGTATTAATTCAAAGGGAATTTTTCCTTGATTACAATGGTTAAATTTCGGTGGTAAATGGAAATTTACTTCAAAAGCTTGTGTCTGCCTACGCTCCGTCTAAAGAACTTTGGTACTGTTTAGTATAATTGGAGAAAATTCTTAGTACGCACATATACAAAAAGAGATTTCCAGACGTCTCCTACAATGGGACCGATTAAACCAAGTTTATTGTTAAAACTATCGACCATTTTAGTTGCAATTTCGCCACTTTAAATGATTTAAATATATGTATGACGCAGTTTTTTCGTTAACGCGTAATGAAGAATTTTTTACTCAGTACATTTATTTTCGCCTTCGGTTCAAGTCTTATTTATTAAGGATCCTCTGAGCCTTTATTAGTTTTGTATTGTCGTCCGTTCGTGTGCGCTCTAACTCTTTTTAAAAGTGGCCGATTGTGTTGAAATTTGGTGTACGGGTACGTTGGACATTAAGGACGGACGCTATTGATTTTCAGGAAGCTGGTTCAACAGGAACAAAAGTTATAGGACTTCGAGTGAATCGGGAACAGGAAAAACTGCGAACTCAATATAATAGAAGTCAACATATTTCATTCCCTAGGTCATGTATCGAGTTCGGACTTTCGCTAGATTATTCCCTATGACTCTTAGAAGTGTAACAATTCAATATAACTCTTCTCTCTGGTCTAGGTCAAAAGTTTTAGAGTAAAATGTACCCAAAATTATTCTTTACACATGAATTTAGAGTTGTAAAAGCTTTCAAGCGCATTATCTTGATGCTGAAAGAGTTGATAACCTGCACGTTTGATAACCGCATGTGTGTGAATCAAAAATGTTAAATTATTTTTCTGAGACCACATGGATTTTGATCAAAATATGTCGAAATCATTATTTATGCACCAAGATGGTTGAGAAAAAGACCAGGAGCATTATTTCAATGACCAAAACATGAATTTGATCTATTTTTGGCGACCACATGGATTTTGATCAAAACATGTCAAAATCGTTATTTATGCACCAAGATCGTTGGGAAAAAAACCAAGAGCATTATCGCAATGCCCAAGACATGAATTTGATGCATTTTTGTTAACTATAAAATGTATTTTGTAAGATTAAAATAAATTGTCGTTAAAAGTGATTGTAATACCGAGGATCCTTCGATATTTCGTTGTATCGGTTTATTTACGTTTGCAACTTTACGCCTAACTATTTTAAATTTTCTCGTATGGTTTAGCACATAAACAGTCCTTCGTGTTTATTAAAAATGCACTTCCCCGGTTAACAAATCGGAGGAAAACTAATTTTTTCCCAAACTGCCCTTGTTTGTTCGAAAAATATATTTCGAGCGGGCAACTAAACTCGATTACACCCAACATTTTAATTTAACCTCCTTTTTTTTAGTACTGCGATCTCTTCTTGGTCGCTGAGAGATTTCATCTGTCTCTGAATGATCTCCTCTTTTAATTGCCGAGTTCATTTTTCACATCCTCAATAGCGAATTAACTTTCAAAATGGCGACGTATAATTTTCCATTGGATATTGTCTTTTTAGCTACCAATCCTAGACGATTTTTAAAACCTACGCAATTCCAGAAACATATACTCAGCAGTTCCCAAGCTAAGGTTATATCCCCATTAAAGTGAATATAGTCTTAACTCAAACTCCCTGGCGCGACTGTCGCCTTGACCACTATGTAAGTACGGCACATATTTCGTTGACTCCAATCATCCAGATAAATTCCTTATAAAAACCAATATTTATTTGGGGAACACTCTTTAGAAACTTGACATTGTTTATAGCTTTACAAATTCTAACTGACTTATTTTTTACGGTACAATAAACAAAAATCAAATACAACCTAATGTGCTCGTTACAACTACAATTTTAAAATGTCCCCAAAGAAAGTAATCAAGCGGAGTCAAGAGCTATTCTATGGCACCAATCCATTTTCCAGAATACCGACGATTGAGTGAGCTATTGCAAACAGCCACGGCATAATGTAGCGGAGCATGTCCCCTGTTCAGAAATCCCTGCACAAAAAAGTACGTTCACAGATGTTTTTGGAAAAATTAGGATGCTTATCTATTGTTCGGAATATTAACTTGCAGAAGTCCTCTGATCTTAATCATCTCCCATCTCCGCCCAATTCTTTTAAAACTTGTACCTTATATGGAAAAAACTCTTTTCGGAATTTTATGAACTGACCCGGTAGACACATTAGTACCGTTGGAATTGGAGCACTTCAACCGAGCACCTCAATTTCGTACACCTCATTTATATATTATATATATTCGTTCGTTGTTATCAGCGTGCAATGCCCTGTACAATTCGACTATACGTATCTTTCGTGGATGGAGTACGTTATACAATTCCGATTCTTCGCTGTGTATGTCGATCTTTCTCTCACTCGTGCCCTCTGATGCGGACGGTGCGTAAGCAATTCGAGAAGGCCCCCCCCCCCTAACTTTTAATCTTTTTGTATATGGTTCTGGATATGGGATGATCGACATTTACATGATTACTCATTTGTACTTTTCGTGTTAAATGAATGGTAGCCAATACTGAAGTAGAACCATGCCATTTTGATTTTACGAATGGATCGTAGATGTGTGTTTCTGCTAATTTGATTTTATCTTGTTTTTCATATGTCTTTTGTGTTTTTTTAAATTGTTGTGTTGTGAGTTCGAATCCCACAACTTGCCAGTTTTTAGTGGCACAGAACATCTCCTGAGTACCATGCTTCGGAGGGCATTTAAAGCTGGCGGCCCCGGCAGTCATTCCACGACTGTCGTAAGGTCACACAGACTGCTGTTGATGCAACCTAAAAACCTCTGTATCTAGAGAGTGCCACCTATACGATACAATACAATCATCTCTGAATTCTTTCTGTTTGTCTTTTTTTACTTTCTTTCCTGACAAGACATTTTCTTCTCAGAACTTTATTAAATATCATCTTGGAGGTCTAGCTACTAAATTTACTCGCAGAACGTGAGGTGGGAACGTAGGGACTTCTTTATAAATATTCATAGATGGATTTGTTTTTCATCATCGAAGATATCCACAAACTTTTAACCTCACGGAATTCCGTAAAATGTTTCATTGAACTTTTTTCTTCTAAATCTTGGGTAAAACTTATTAAGGAATTTCCCCTAGGAAATTTTCTAGCAGAATTCTCTTTGCTACCTGCCTTCTTTTGCTTTCTGCCTTGTCCACAAAACATTTTTAAGAGCCTTTTTAGAAACCTACTTGATGGAAATTATTATCTTCGTAATTTTCAGCACGTTTTCATCTTGGGAGTCCTCCTTGAAAATGAGGCGGGAGGGTAGGAAGTTCGCTATTAATCTTATTAGGGAAATTTTTGGAGACGTTGTTGGAAGCATTTCCGAAACCTAGAGGGAATTTTGCCGCATGTCCTTAAAGATCATACAAAAAAATGTTCGTTAGGTCATCGGAAACATTTTTTGAAAAATATTGGAAATGTAGATGCAAATTTAGAACTGGAAACCGACACCATTGTGGCCGTTCACAATAGAACTTTCACTAAATAAATACTTGATTTGGAGTCCTCCTAGAGATTTTCTTGAAATAAATCACATTCTCTTTGATATATTCTTAGAAATATTCCCAGCAAACATCCTTATGGTCAACTTTAGGTGAAACTTTTTCGCAAACTTTCTGTACTTAGAAATCTCGTTTGAAATCATGGTGGAAATATTAAAAACCCTAAAGGAAGGGAAGCAACATTTTCTATAAAGCATCATTTTTGTTATAATTACTAGTTCTAAGAAGGAATAAACATAGGTTCGAAAAAATATCTTTTTAATAACCCTTTCAAATATAAAAACGTTTTTCAAAATTGTCAATTTCGTTAATATTACTAGAGACTGTGAGGTGAACAATTTTCCGACAGATCACTATCAAATTTTCAGTACCCCACAAACCAAATGAATAAAACTTAGTTTAAAAATAAAGTGACACGTCACGAACAAGGCCACCTAATTATCCTCCCGCCCTCCTATGTAATATCAGTGGCAGTATTGATAAGTAGTATTAACAATTTGACATTACATAAATACTTTCGGAATTAGTAGTAATAGGATGTCAAATAATACTCATTAGATGTGGGTTAATGTTAATAGATAATACTTCGACAGTATCCACCGCCTCGCCTACTGCTATGCAAAAGGTAGCGATATATTTTGGTAATTTGATAATTGAGTTTGGTCGTTTTCCTAACAAAATTGGCCGATAGAGAGTGAGTTATAGAGAGTAGGGAAGGTTCGAAAATAATCGGAAATTAAATAATCAATTATTTAAAGTAGTGGCGCAACTAAAAAATACGGTTTAGCTTACCTTGTGCCTTCTTTTCTGATAAATAGTAATCTCGGACTGCACCTACTGTCACTAAGGCAGTAAAGAAATACGCTGCCAGTACAAAAATTGTCTTAGCGTTCATCTGCAAAAGGAAATTCGTGTTAAAATTACGTCCTTTGACGCACACCAATACATAATACAACAATTCGCGTTTCGTGCAATTGCCATCAAATAAGGAAAGATCGCTGAAGCATGATACAATTACGTAGGTGGTGATAAAGCGAAGATTGTCGTGCCCCTTTTTCTTATTTTGTCACTCATTTGAATATTATCCGGGTAAATGCATCTAATTAACAATATTATTTAATTCCAAGAACTGGATTCATTCATCACAATTAACCGTTTATCACTAGCTAGGTAATTGTTGTTTATTGGTTTAGCAAATTGTTTTAATGTCGGAACACGAGAGTAAAATGTAAATCCAGAAATCGTGTAACTCCCCAATCAACACTTTTTGGTTCTACATGAAAGGCACAAACTTTTCTCAACATCATCACCTTTGTTTCAGAACGTTTTAAGAGAGGTCAGAGCGAAGGAATATTATTAAAATGATGAAAAATGATTTTGCTTGTGTCATAGTAAGTAATTTACAAATTCAAAAAATGGTTGATTTGGTGAGACAAACACAATCTGGGGGTTGTAGATAAGACAATGTTTTGCTAGGAAAAATGTTTAGTTCTTCGCCCCGATTTGAATAATTGCTATCTCTCATGTGGTGAGATAATGTTGAGTTTGATTCTAATATTTGGAAGATATTTTCAGAAGATCCGCATAATTTTCCTTCAAAATTTAATAAGCATTTTCCACTTTCAAGTTGAAACAAACATCGAGTATTATTACACTATTAATGTTTAATTAGTATGTTGACTTATCTGAATAAACTTAATACCGCCAGTTTAATGTTATTCTTAGGAAGGGAATTGCAGATGCGACACTAATAAACTCAAACGGCCTCCAAAACAAATAAACCGTAAAATATAACATCCCAACACGAGTTCTCACTTTTTTTAATATGAAGGAGAGCACAACAAACTCATTTTTATAATTATATTAAGCTGTGCGAAAATATCATTACGAGAAATATCCGCAAAAAGGTGAAGTATCTTAAAATTTCTCGTGGGAAATCGATTTGTTCACAAATACAATAAACCAGAGGTATACTACGATTTTCATAGTGGCTTACCTATACTGTTCCAGATAGATATAATGAATTCTTACAAGCGGAGACAGAAAGGAACATTTAAATCCAATTTAAGTGAAATTTCAGCAAGAGAAAATCTTATTAAGACAATAAAATTACTTAATATTGCTGAATGATAAAATTTGTCAAATAAAGTTAATATCTGAAACGAAAATGAACCAAAGAGATCTGAAAGAATAGTCGACATACAAAAGTACAAAAGAAATAAATTCATCATAAGTAAACAGGCTTTATTAAGATGGCCATAATTTGTAAAAAATGTTGATGGCGTACAAGAAAATCGTCATATAGTTCCGAAATTGAACTTTTGAAAATTAAAACCAAGTACACTTTTCATTGAAACAGTTTCACACGCACGAAATTACTGAAATTATGTAAAAGAGACTTATTACAATTTCAAGAAAAAGCATATTAATTAGTTGTAGTACTCGTATAACCTCGCTACGAAAAGTCAAGTTGAAATATATTTTCATTACAGGTGTCCGACTTTTCCGATAGATAAGTGCCGTACAGACCTTCCACTTTCGCAAGTAGTGAACGGCAACGGGTGAGTCATATATTTACTTTTTTTTAGATGAACGTAATTTTTGCGTTTGCGTTCTATTTTTGTTATGTTTCATATGTCTATTTGATACGCTATTATGAGCGTATTTTGACAAATGAAAAAGGTTCCTACATATCTGTGGAGAATGGTTTCTCTTAATTCTTTACGTTTTAGAATTTTGGGTTTTTAAAAAAATTTTCGCGACCCGGGACAAAAAGTGACAGTACACACTAAATTCTCAAACACAATTTAATCATTAATGGTTACCATTATATGTGCATTTTTATTCTTGCGCCATATTTTAGACTTATTATACCGTTTCCCTTTTATCTTTTTGAATTTGGGAGGCAGTAGGTTTCCTTATAGCTTGTTCTTCAGAGTTTTAAACGATCATTTCTATGCCCTAGTTTTAAACTAGAATCTTTAAATAAAACTAACATTTATCATTATACGGTCACAATTTGACATTATAACGTATAATGATTCAACAATCAAACAATTTTTTTCTTTCAAATTTGCTATAGCTAATTACAGGAGTACAAAAAATAGCGTATACCTATAGGTACCACAGGACTAAAGTGCACCCTCGGGATTAAAACACACACTTTAGTCCCTTAGTATATAATATACTGTTACTGTTTCTCAGTTATTAAAACACTTTCCGAAATCCCTACGGGAACAGGTACAGAAATAGGTTTTTTATGTTTTACAGTCGAAAAGAGACTTAAAATTTAGAACGTAGGTTTCTTTAAAGGCCTTTGAAGGTATACTCCGATATAACTTCCCACGGAAACGGGCTAGGTACGCGAAAAAACGGGATTTCCCAAAGGCGGTACGAAGTTCTCTGGGACTGCTAGTTTGTTAATAAAACGCGCATACTTTACGCCTATTTTTAATTTTTGTTAAATTTTGAACACACATTTTTTGTTGAGATAGTTGAACATGGCTTTTAATAAATTGATAATATGTGCATGGTAAATGATTTACTACCAAAGTATTTGTTTATTTAAGAAAATATTCACCCTCTTTTCGCTTATTTCTTAATTTTCATTAAATTTTGAGCCCAAATTTTTTTGTTCTCTGTGAGATAGTTTTAATTAAAGAATATCCCATAATTTGTTTAAGAAAAAACCACACATTTTTTAATCGAATAAAGAGCGAATGATAATTGTTTGTCTACCAAACTTATTTGTTTATTAAAAAAATTGAAACTACATGCTTACTTTGGCCTATTTTTTTTAATTTTTGTGAAAGTTTCAACCCAAATTGTTTGTGCGGGATGAGATAGTGAACATTCTTTTTAATTCAAAAATAATTCAATTGATTTTTTAAACAAAGGCCCATGTCTGTAAAGATGCTCAGTAAAGGGCGAATAATAAAAGTTTCGTTTTTAAAATACGTATTATCTTTAGTAAATAAAAATGTAAAGTATTTTTAAATGTTTGTGAAATTTTGGGCACAAATTTCTTGTTCGCGCTGAGAAAGTGAACATGATGTCTCAATAGCGCATGATAAATGGTTTCTATCAAAGTATTTTTTTATTTAAAAAAATAATAATAATAATAACAATTATTGATTATATTAATCAAAAGGGCAAGATTCGGCAAAGCCGGATTTCAATCCTGCCTAAAAACTTGCTATATTTCCTGAACATACTTTCTAACTATAACATTATGATCATTTATAAACATGCAAAACTAAATTAAATATAGTAACAATAAAATATATCTATATAAATTTAAAAAAATGAATGAAGCAACAATTATATCCTATATGCCTACATTCTGAATCCAAATTATTAAGATGTGAACACAAATAGACATTGATTGATCAAAAATCGAAATAAATTTACAATTGAAATTGATAGTATTTACCCTCTTTCTTCATTTTCATTTGTTTTCTGTGAGATAGTGAACGTTCTTTTTAATTAAAAAATATCCCACTGGAGTTTTAAAAGAAGTATTGAAATTTTCTCTATTTTGTGCTTAGCACTCAAGGGGTACGGGAGATAAAAAAGGTTGGGAATCGCTGATATAGATTATTATTCATATCGACTACAAGCAAACCGTTTATGAAATTATAACAAGAACACACACATCGCACGCCCCGCAGCTAACGGCGGCGCCGCCACGAATTGATAACAAAAACACCCAAATTAATCCCAAATTAGCAAACCGCCACGCGTAATAACAACTAATGCGAATTTGTCGTTCGAGTTTGTAAATTTCGCGAGCTAATTTTCTTTACAATAACAAATGGAGTCGCAGGAGGGCAAAGAAAATAAACGTATTAAATATTATCGCTCTGTGGTTTTGAGCGGTTAAATCATGTTAGTTAGTCAAATGCTATAATTTCAAATTTGCATTGCAAAAGGGTCGTTATAGATTACTTGAAATAATTATCTAACATAACCGATGGTGAAGCTCAAATTAGCGAATTTTCCCGCGGGAGGCGGATGGACGATGTTAAATTAGCATAAGGATGTCGCGAAAATGTGAGCGATTCATTGGGAATGTTCAAGTTATTTTGTATTTTAAGAAGCCGTGAATTTTAGGGAGTCATTTTCGAGAGTTCATATTTTATGCAGGAGATACACGCAATATTAAGATAATGTCTTTATTTACTATGTATAAGGTAATGAATATACAAACTAATTCAAATTTGTCACATTTGCCCTGCTAATGAATAGCGAACTTTGCGTTCCTGAAGGGTGGAAATTTAACCACAGTGATAGTAGGTAGTTTACCTGTGTTTTCACTTGATAAAATCAAAGAATCTGCGTGAATTGTTAATGTTGCTTATATTTATCGAGAGTGCGTCAACATAGTCTGTTTGTTTATGCTTAAAACTTGCTTGTAATGCTGTAATTTAAACGAGGCACGAAAAAAATGTTGGCAAGGGTGTTTAACGTTGCGAAATCTTGATTTCCATTTTATTTGTATGCTTGGGTTTTACAAATTTCAACCCCATCATGTTCCTGTTACTTCGTAACGCATCCCTTAATATAAGACATAGCATCATCCTCTTGAAGGAAAACTTTCTATAAACACATTATTTATATACCGTCTTTATTTAAGGTGAAGGAAATTTGTATTGTAACGTTTTTTTACGAATTTATATTTATTCGCTTAATATGCAGGGTGTTCCTAAATATGATGTAAATACGGAAGGGGCTAATTCTTTGCTTTATTTTATGACTAAACGTTCATATAAACATAGTCCCGCAAACACTTTGTTACCAATCTACAGGTTGACTAAATAGCTCTTAGTGAAGTGTCCATAGAACATATGTACGAAATTCGGCTCAATTCGATGCAATAGTTTAGCCATAATATGGAAAAAATTGACAGTTTTTGGTTACTTTGACACACTTGTGCATGTCCGATTCTGCCCGAAAGTTTATTTCGTATGTCTAAAAATATGTGTACCAAATTTGGTCCCTGATTCCTGATGCTCTAAAACGTGTATTTCCGTCAAAAAATGAGGGGTCATTTTTACCCCAATGCAATACCTCTCTTACTAACGTGCGGGTAGTAAACATGGGTTATGTATTCACAGCGCCAACATTTTTAGTCGCAAGCAAATATCGGTTTATCATCATTTTCGATTTAATTTAGTAACTAATTTTTTCGGAAAGAAGGACGTGTAAAAAGGATAGGTAAAACGTACTAAATTGATTTTTATTTTTTTTCTCGGTAACGGCCACAGATACAAAAAAATTATAAGAGACCAAAAAGTTTCTAAACAAAACAGAACATTCTTGTTTTACAATCTACCAGTGGGCACCGAAAATGGAACATGACACCTCAAAAAACAACACCCTGTAAATCCTCGTTATAATTTAGATGACCAATGATGCGAGCCTTTCAGCGTAAATTACGAAATTTCATAACGAGCAAGGATTTTATATTTATGGGACAATTGAAGGGTTACTTGAGAGCAGGGACCCGAGCCGGAACGAAGAAGAATCGAAAACCGGAGTGAAATCGGTATTTTTTTCAGAACCGAAAACTAAACCGAAACCGTTATTCGTTCATATTGAGCAAAATTCTATGTAAATGTAACCCCCTGCTCTTCTACTTAACCTTGGTCCCTAATAGATAAAAGCACCACAGCTTATTATCAATAGTTCCGAGGCAAGGCACCGAGTTGTATTGTACAGTACACATTCATGAAAATAGCAGTAGAATAGAGAAAAAGGAGTGCAAAAATTAGAAAAACATGCCATAGGTATATAACAGTATGTACGAATATGACAAATCAAACATAGTGCAAAAAATAAATTGAAAAAGATATTGAAAATTGAAAATGTTCACTCTAACGCTTTTCACTGACTATAAAATCAGTGACAAACAAGAGATTTAAGAATAGTTTTCGGAAAGTACTACCCCGTCTGTCGCAAATTTAGGTTATGTACATTCGTACAAAATCGTATTATCTTGTATGGATGTGTTTGCGTGACAATAATTTTTCGAAACAAACATTCTGCATGCACCTGACGTCTAGTAATCATTCTCCTCCAATTCGCTATCATTAATTTATGTGATATGCGTGCTGCTCTCCTAACACCATAAATAAGACGCAAACCTGAGTACAACAAAAATTATAATCCTAGCAATTGAATAATGCTGCGCGAATTACCTTAAAAATTAACTACACAATGAGATAAGAAAATCATTTATGTTGGTAATTTACAATATTGTATAGGATGCGTCATGGTAAGTAGGACTATTATAACAAACAATTAATAGGACACTAAACTATGATTAACAACAAATTAAATAGATCTTAACATATCTTTGCCATAGTGCATGAAATTCACGTCTACATTTTCCGTACGAAAATCTACATACAATCATAAAATAGATCTAAAATCATTAGAACGTGGAATGATTCCCAATATCGCAGTCGCATTACCCCGTTGAACTTCAATAGAAAGACGTTACCACAGAAATTCAGTGGCTCGTTTTTCTCCAGTTGCACGTTCGAGTCTTCAATTAACT